GGGATCATCAGGTTCTCGAATTCCATTATGGCTTGAGACACAGAAAGAGAGTATCTCCGTTCTTGATTTGTCATGTACTGGAATTTATGGAGCTGTTCCCAACTGGTTATGGAGTTTGGAATATCTCAACCTTTCTCATAAAAACTCATTCTCGGGAGATTTGTCTGAATTTCTTTGTAACACAACCACCGATATACTGAATATCTTGATATCGGGGAAAACCACCTGTCTGGAGAGTTACCCGAATTGTTTTTGGAAGTGGAAATCATTGGTAGTGTTGAACTTAGGAAATAATAACAAATTGCACGGAAGAATACCGAATTCCGTAGGATTTCTTACTCATTTAAATTCTTTAAATCTATACAACAATAATTTCTTTGGCCACGTACCTTTTTCATTGCGAAACTGCACGGAACTAATAAATATCGACTTTTCTGATAACAATCTTGGTGGGGCCATGCCGAAATGGATTGACGAAAGATTTTGCAGTCTGAGAATTCTCATTTTGCGGTCAAACAATTTCAGTGGTGAAATTACTCCATCCATGTGCCAGTTAACTTCTCTACAAATCTTGGATCTCTCCCATAACAGACTTTCAGGGAGAATACCTACCTGCCTTAACAATCTTACCTTATTGACCACAAAAATTTTGCAAGAAATACATTATGTTGCAGTTAGACCAGCTTTTCAAGAAAGCGCATCAATTGCCGCAAAGGGAAGTGAACTCACCTATGGCTCCACTCTCTCTTTGGTTACACGTGTCGACCTTTCAAACAACATCCTTTCTGGTGCCATCCCAAGTGAGGTAACAAGTCTGGTAGAACTCAGCACACTGAACCTGTCGAGAAATAATTTAACAGGATCCATCCCAGGCAACATTGGAAACATGAAGCAACTCGAAACTCTTGATTTCTCAATGAACTCGTTATCCGGCAACATTCCAGGTAGCATCACAAGCATGTCTTTCTTGAATAGCTTGAATTTGTCATATAATCACTTGACTGGAAGGATCCCAGAAAGCACCCAGATTCGGGGCTTGAACGAGTCGAGCTTCATTGGCAACCATCTTTGTGGCCCTCCACTAGAAATATCTTGCAAAAACGACCGTAATTCCCCTGGCCCAACGCACATGGAGAATCGAGGGCAAGAAGGCAACAAGGCCGAGTTTGATTGGTTTTACGTATTTCTATCTTTAGGATATGCGGTTGGGCTTTTGGTTGTCCTCACTACATTATTTTTAAAGAAAAAAATGGAGGGAAACATATTACGGGTTCTTTCGGAGATTGTGGGACAGCATTTATGTGTATTGTGTTATCAAACGGAGAAGGCTCATGCGAGTTTTGGGTCGGAATTAGTGATGGCTCTGCCAAGACAGTATGCATGGAGGACTCTATACTTTAATTTCTTTATCCTGTTTTGATGTTAGTCTCTTGTGTGGGTGCTTTTAAATAACAATAATAAGGTGTCTGATTTATTGCTTGTGTTACAGTGTTAGACTGTTAGGATTTTATTTGTGAATTGTGCTGTAAATCTATGTATCATATTTGTGAATTTGTGAATTGTGCTGCCAAAAACAGAATTTTTGGTCAACAATTACGTTCTTTTTTTTTTTTTGTACAAAACAATTACGTTCTTTAATCCCAAAGACGCACCACACCAACATAGGGTCCAGAGGGCCTCACGGGCCCCCTCAATTTTTTTATTTTTTATTTTTTAAAAATTTCAATGTATAAAAATATTAAATATAATAGCTTTTGAACTTATTGTGACTTTTTCATATATAATATATTAAATTATTCATCTTTTGAAGCGTTTATATTAGGTATCCATATTTCTTACATAAAACAAAAAAATATTCTTTTATTATAATATTAAATAATGTATTAATACTAATTGAAAATCAATAAAATTATATATCAATTAAAAAATCCTATAGATTTATTACATATGAGTTAGAAAATTATTATATTATAAGACGAGCAACTCATAGTAAAATGTATTGTTTTAAACATATATAATCATATAATTTTTAAAAAGTACTTGAAATTTGAATAAAAAAATTCTCTCCGACATTGTTTTTAAGATTTTATGACAATTTTTTTTTTAACTAACACCGTGTAACCATGGGTGTTATTCTAGTCAGAGGTGGAGCCACCTATGGGCTAGGATGGGTTCCAGCCTCATATAAAAATAATAATAATAATAATAATAATAATAATAATAATAATAATAATAATAATAATAATAATAAAATAGATTTATCATCCAAAAAATTATATATTTAGCCCTATCTAATTTTTTTACTTAGCTCTATCTAATTTTGGGTTGTGTAAGCTCAAATGAAGTTTATAAACAAATAGAGGAACACGATTTCGAGCTGTTCCTGCTCATCAATGGCGGAGGTTGCTGTATAGTGCAAGAGCTTGGAGATGCTAACTAGATGTTCCAGTGTGAAGTGACATTTGTACCCTCACTTATAAAATTAAAGACACTCTCCACCATTTTGAAAAATATTATTATTATTTTGATACATCATTTCTGTGCTTCCAAGACAGATCCTTTTTATTACTACAACGAATTTGTAGGAGACTTTTTAAACTTACAATAACTGTTCCCACTTTTTCCACTTTTTCAGTTTTTCTTCCATCTTTTTTCTACACTTTTCTCTATTTTTCTTCTTCCTTTCTTTTTTTCTCCCGAAAGAACACATCCCTACCTCCAATCCCTACAATGTCACCATATTCGGCGCCTCCGGCTTCATTGAAAAGTACTTCATCCATGAAGCCCTCAAATCCCCTGGTGCCCCTAACTCACCCCTCAAATCCCTAGCCCTCCGGGCCGCAGCCCATCGCGGCTATTTGATGCTCTCAAGTAGGATTCTGGCCCGAACGCACCTCCGAAGATCCCCCTCCTCACTGCCGACATCTCTGATTCCAAAGATGACGTGTCCCTTGGTAATTTGATGATCAGTTTTATCATTTTTTTTTTTAAGTTTGAAGAACCAAAATAAACAATTAGTTCTGATAAAGATGTGTGAAGGTGACACTAGGCTTAAATAATAACTAAAAACAAGATTGACATATTTGGGCTTTGGGTATTTTTTTTGCAAAAATATTAATTTTTTTTACAGTCACTGCTTTATCATATAAAATATAAAAAAATAAGTTGGATGTGCACGAGTTGAAGTGAATCAAAAAGTGTCATGGTTGATATTTTAATGTTTACTTGTAGTTGTTTTTATGTTGCTTGAATGATGTTTTATTGGTGTCTTGTTCGTATCAACATAATAGTTGTTTTTATGTACTTGAAAGATGTTTTGTTGTTGTCTTGCTAGTACCAACCTATCTTTGTCTCTTTTTTTATAATACATATTTGTGTTTTTTTTTAGTTAATTTAATTGCTACGTACGTATATATAATC